CGCTCGTGCACGCATAGGCTCTCTCTCTCAAATAAATAAATACAATCTTTAAAAATAAATAAATAAATTTATAATATTGTTTGAGAGAAGTTTTAATTCCAATTAGGTAGCTCTCTAAATTTTAGGAAGTGACAAAATCCACATTACTGAAAACTCTGCAAAAGATACTTGAGGCCATTTGTTCTCAAGTGCCAAGGCCAGAACTGCACAACCAAGAGGAGGAAAGAAGGTTAAGACTTTATATAAACAGGTATTGTGTCTCGGTGGAACTTGACTTAAAAGGCTCAATCAGAAAAATTCAAACCTACAGAAGTTTCAAGAACACCCACACAGTCTTCATCTACTCATTATTAAAATTTTGCAACATTTAACTCTCTCTACATATACAGATATTATTGTTATTTTGATGAAACATTTTAGAATTCATTACAGACATGATCATTCATTCCAAATCCCAGCATGTATCTCCCAAGAACAAGGACACTGACCTATGTCACCACAATACAATCACCAAATTTAGGATCATAGCACTGATTATTATAGTTCATATTCAAATTTCACCAGTTTCTTCCAATAATGTCCTTTATAGCAACCTTTTTTAATTCCAGGATCCAATCCAAGATTGTATATTGCATTTAGTTGTCATATCTCTGTAGTTCCCTTTAATCTGCAAGTTTCTTAACCCTGACAACTTTGAAGAGTACAGGCTGTTGTTTGAGGAATATCCCTCAATCTTGGTTTGCCCTATTTTTTCCTCATGATTCAGGTTATGTATTTTTGACAGGAATGCTACTTACAGTGCTGTGCTTCTTTTCAGTGCATTATGTCAGCAGACACATATTAATTTGTTTCATTATTGGTGATGTGAACTGTGATGATTTGGTTAAGGTGTGCTGTCCAGATTTCTCCAAAACAATTATACTTAATAAACAGTTACATAACCTCAACAATTATTATGTAAGCTTACCTGTTCACATACATCATGGCACATTTGGTTATCCTTTGAATGATTACAACACAGTGCACCTAGGAGCAAAAATAAACACCAGATGTTACCCACTGTTAAATAAACAAGATGATTAAACTAAATCAGATGGCTACACAAAATATTTATTCAACAGATTATTATTATTCATTTTAACTCAACAAACTTTTACAAACTGAGGACAGTGTTGTCTGAGCACATGGTCCCTGCCCTCAAGAAGCTTGCAGGTTAATAGTGGAGACTGTCATGTGTACTTTCTATGTACCAGAATTTTACTAAGTTTTCTTTAAGCATTATCTCATTCAATCCTTATAATTACCCTATAGGCTATATTCTATTATTATACCTATAATGTATGACTAAGTGATAAAAAGGCAATGAATTTTGTTTTGGACATGTTAAATTTAAGGTTCCTATAGGACATCCAGATGGAATAGCAGTAAAGTCAGAAATCTAAGCCTGGATTGCAGGTAAAGCCAAGCTGAAAGATCCAAGTTGAAAGTCATCAGCATAAAGGAGATATATGGAAACGAAAGACATTGCCTAGGGAGAGTTTCTAATAAGAAGTCATCACAGCATCAAATTCTAAAGAACACCAAATGTGAGACATGGGAAGAAACAAGAAAAGACACTGAGATGAAACAGTCAGACAGGTAGGTCAGCCTCGAGAGAGTAGCATTACAAAAGAGGGAATAGTTAGTGGCATGTACCAAAACATACAGGTTAGATTGAAGACTCAAAAAAAGGAAATGGATTTACTAAATAGAAGGCCATTTGGTAACCTTCACAGGATACTTTCTGTGGAGCTAGAAGTGGATGATATTAAGGAGTAAACCAGAGGTGAGGAAGTATAAACAACAAACATTGGCTCTCAATAAGTCTGGCAGAAATGGGAGGGAAGGGGCACCCGGGTGGTGCAGTCAGTTAAGCGTCCAACTCTTGATTTCTGCTCAGGTAATGATCTCAGGGATTCAGTCCCTGAGCAGGGCTCCACGCTCAGCAGGTAGTCTTCTTGGGATTCTCTCTCTCTGTCTCTCTCCCCCACTCTGCCCCTCCCCTGCTCTCTAATAAATAAATCTTAAAAAAAAAAAAAAAAAAGAAATGGGAGGGGAAAAAAAGAGCAGTGGTTATGGAAGGAAGGATGCAGGATCAAGGGAAGGAAAAATCCTCCATTTGCAGTTGGCCTTTGTCCCTGATTCCTGGGAGGAAGACTCTAATCCTTGGAATTTCTAGAGTAAGAGGTGTATCTTTGTTATGCTAATGAAGTGACCCCCCCCCGCCCCGCCCAAAACCTCCCAGATAGCTTCAGGATGGGGACTGGCATGCCAGACAGACCAGCCATTTGATTAGAAGGCTAGAAGGTTGGGACTTTGACCTCCATGATAGCAGTCCAACCTCTAGCAAGACAGGGGGATGAAGATCAAGTTCAATCCATATGGCCAATAATCAAATCAATCATGTCTATGTGATGAATTCCCAACGAACACTAGATACCGAAGCTCAGTGGACCTTTCCTAGTTGGTGAAGACACTGATGTGCCAGGAGGGTGATAACACACTGATTCCGTGAGGAGAAGACACAAAAGCTCTGCATTTACTCCCAGACCTCACCCTGTGTCTCTTCATTTGGCTGGTCCTCCTAATTTGTATCCTTTATAATAAAACTGTAATCATAACTAGAGGGCTTCCCTGAGCTCTATGCATCATTCTAGTGAATTACTGATTTTGAGGTTGTTGTGAGAAGCCTGGATTTATAGCCAGTTGTTCAAAAGTGTGGGCGGCCTGGGGACTGCCTAAGTGCGGCTGGTGTCTGGGTAAGTGCTGTCTTGTTGAGGACCATGCCCTTTAACTTGTGGAGTCTGTTCTAACTCTGGGTGGTTAGTGCCAGAACTGAACTTCCATACCACACAGTTGTGGTTGAAACAGAATATCGGAGAAATGAGGTGACTGCTGGAAAGGGATACGGGTTTAAGAAATGGCACTGAGGGGTGCCTGGGTGGCTCAGTCAGTTAAGTATCTGCCTTCGGCTCAGGTCATGATCCTGGAGTCCTGGGACTGAGTCCCGCATCGGGCTCCCTGCTCGGTGGGGAGTCTGCTTCTCCCTCTCCCTCTGCCCTTCCTCGTGCTCTCAAATAAATAAAATCTTAAAAAAGAAAGAAAGAAAGAAAAGGCATTGAGTTTGGGGCAAGGGATGCAAGCGATGCAATAGTGAATAAATGTTATGTTCTCTGACTTTATCAGGTTACAGTCTGATGGTAAAACGAAGTCTAGACAAGAGGAAAGGATATAAGGACACTAATAAATTACGAGGGAAGTTGATGGCCTCCATTTTCTCAGTGAAACACAGATTAAGTCTGAAAACAAAAAGGGTTGAGATGCAGTTGGGGACCTGAGGTGAAACTGTGGAAGTGTGGAGCAGTCACTTTGCAGAACAGAGAAAGGAGGCAACTATAAAGGCGTTTCTCAAACTTGTATTCTATTCACGAGTTGTTAATATCTACCCCTCAGGAAAAAACATTTCATGTTTAAACAAACTGGGAAATGAAGGATTAAAAAAAGTTAAAGAGAATTCCTTATTGCAGGACTTCACAAAGCCTTTAATATGTTTATACATTACTAATCTCCCAAAAAGAGATCTAAGTAGACAGACTTCTCAGAGCACAGAACACTTTTCTCATGCCACTTACTAACATTTCAGAATGCCAGTTTGGGAAACATCAAATTAGAGAAAAGGAAAAACATTGCCAAGCGGCATTACAGGCCGAGAAATGCATAAATGGGCTATAGAAATAAACAGCAGGGAGATGTTATTATTCTAGAGTGTACCTGACTGGAAAAAAGATACAGCTGGGTTGATTGGAAGCTGTCAAGAGACAAGATGAAAATATTACATTTCAGGCAGCTGGATCTGATACAATGGTTTAAAATATAAAAAATTTGCAACATAATCTCTTCAAATGCAATCTATATAATTTCAGTACACAAATTAGATGAAAGCAGAACTTTTTTGATTGAAGGTAGGATTTGTATTGGGGGAAAATGAATGAATAGATGAATAAACGAAGAGCTCTTTAGATCTCACCAACAAGCCTTCTACGTTCGTTCAAAACTGGAAATTCTTCTCCATAAAACAGGGTATAAGTGGGGCAATCACTCATGAGGCTTTCTCAAAATCCCTTCTCCTCTGCCGTGCCACATCATGCTCCCCCCCATCTTCTAAGATTCCAGTTATGTCCCCAGTCTCATTACTCATTAGAATGAGAAGGGCAGATAGGAAAAAGAAAAACAAAACAAAACCCAAAAAAGGCTCTCTTGTGTAATAATTGATGTGCTCTTTTGAAGTGCTGAAGAAGTTGCCACTTTCTACTATCCTCTAACACAAAGGTCATTTGAGGGCAAAAAATCCGGCTGATCATGAGCAAAGATAACTCAGGATAACATATGGTCCCAATAAACACAAGCTTAGCAAAAAGTAAACAATCAGGCAGACAAGAGTCTGACTTGGGCCTAGGGATTTTTGAAAAACAGTTTCTTGGAGCAAAGGTCTATTTAGAACAGAAACAAAATGTGTTATAATTAAAAGTCCAATAACAATAGAAAGTTTTATTAAAAGTATAAATATAAAAGCCCATTTTTTCCTATTTAATAGTTAAGGTCAAATTTACAATGTAGTGACCCCTGAAGTTAAACTTTTAAAATAATTCTTTTTTTCATTAAGAAACCCAAAAGTTTGGAAAATAAGAAGAAAAATGATCTATACTCCCACTGTCTTGCCGGAACCTATGTTGACATTTTCACTTCCTTCTAGTCTTTCCAAAAGCCTTCGGATAACTCTGACAATACGTGATTAGAGAGGGCAGCCCAAAGTCTTCTGGTAATAACTCCCTTCCCCCTCCCAATGGAGCATTCCTCTCTAATAGTACATTTCCTCCCTTGAGAGGGCTGCCACACTCCATGAACAGGCTAGGGGACCTATGTATGTTCCATCAAATTTTCCATACCCTATCCTTAACCTTAGCCATTATTATATTGGTGTACATTTTTCTTCCTTTGAAACAAAACTTTTTAGAATGTTTAACACATATTTTTCAAGAAATAAAAGTCTACAAATAGACATCAATTCATATGACTTCATTAAGAATGGGGAGAAGGGATTCAAATGCAATTAATGTGGCAACTAAAGGTCTTTGTCTTTTTTAGAGCTATTAAAATGAATTAATTGGGTCATTTAACAATTAGAGTGCAAAAAAACTCTCCAAGGCCTAATGTTTTTACAGAAGACAATTAATTCTAGAAATGTTTTGTTTTTATAATTTGATTCTAATCTAATTTCTTGTTCTTCAAGAAAAATAGTTTAAAACTCTGCTTACTCTCAAGAAATGGAATCGAACAGATAAATGTAAATTAGTTAAAAATAAAACTTGATACTGACATGATGAAAATAAAAAGCTCAGGTGTTATCTTCATTAAAGACATAAGGATGAGTGTCATATTTTGCACCCTATTCCAAGAGTCTATAATTATAAAATTAATAAAAACCAAAGAGATTGCTAAAAGCCATGTATATTGGCTTTAAGAAGGTATTAGTGGAACCTAGAAATATGCAAGCAGAATTACCCAATAATTAGAAACATCAAGGACTAACAGTTTGGGCCACATGTGTACTAAAGATAGGCAAGTAAGCAGGAAGCACATGCTCCAGCCACAAGGGAAAAATGCAACTTCTAAGACCAACCAGCACTTAAGAAAACAAATACCCTAATCTAAAACTAAAATATTCATAGAATTATAGGATTTTTGAAGTTAAAAGGAATTTTGCCACAGAAACCTCCTAAAAGCTATAATTCAATTTAGTTAATGAAAAGCCATTCTTGCTTTCTTTTCTAAAGAAAATAAAGATTCCCCCTAATTAATGTCTTCCTAAAGAATTACTAAAACAGAATATGTATATCCCACACTGTTGAGGAGGAAAAAAACTAAATCTGAGCTGATACTGGAAAAAGTCATTCTAAATAAAAAAGATGTCTTAATAATAAAAAATT